TGATGAGTTACTCTCATCTTATTTTTACCCTTTCAATGTTGTCATAGGATCACCATTGACATTCTGGGCCTTTTGCCTGGAAGTACCTATTATGCTGTTAATTTTTCAACTAATTATGTTTCATGTTGTTTATAATGAAAAGCCTGTGAACTCTGTGGCTCCACCACTCCCCAGCTGCATGACATTGGGATGCTGTGTAGTCTTTCTTCATGTTTGCTCATCTGTAAATGGGCTGATAATAATAAATATCACCTACTCTACAGACCTGGTAGTAGCACTAAATAAGATCATACATGTTAAGTGCCCATCCATGCTTATCATATCAAAAGCACTCAGTGAAGTTTATTATAAAGGTGAGCACAGGGCTGGGGCACTAATGCAGCTTTGAATGGTGATCATGAAAAAATTTTCAGAGTTAGTCAAGAGAAGAAATGAGGAAAAGGATGTTTCATGAAGGGGGAATGGCTACAAGTTTTTCACTAGTGATGCAGCATAAAGTGTTAGGAGATGAAATGGTAAGGGGGACTGGGAGCAGTTCTTGGAGGTCTTGTTTTATCAAGCCGGGGGGCTCAGACTGCATTCCTGGGAAATGGGTCACACAGAAGAATTTGTACCTCATTAGGGTGCTGGACACATGCAGACTTGAGGAAACAGAATTCAACAGGGTCTACAGGAGACATTATGACCTGTGAGAAGACTGTTCTAAAGAGAGCCCCAAGAAGATTAGGAATGCCTGGACAGTGAGGAGTACAAAAGGACAATAAAGCATTTTGTTTACATCAGATGCTCACTTTGAAAATCCAGGGGACCTAAAGTAGAACCAAAGAAAGGTAGAACTTGTCATGCATTGATTCCCTGTGAGAAAATGAATTAGATGAGCTGAAATATGGATTTCTAATATGAAGGAATTCTGCCCAAGAAGTAGCAAGAGGGTGTCCCACATTTCAGTCTGCAAACTGTGTTTGGAATGCCTTGTGTGTGCACACGTGCACGCAGTGTGCCACAGGCACAAATCTACTGGCTTGTGCGGGGAAAGACTTGTTCTCCATTTTCCTGTGATTGCAAAATCATATTTTCTCACAGTATTTGGTAAAATACTATTCTTATTTGCCAGTTTTCTTTTGATTAGCTTTGTATCTGGGGTTGCAAGTTTTATTTTTGATTATTTATTTTCTAATTATTTTCTCAACAGTGGTTATAAGTAGACTTGGAAATACACCAGAAAATGATTTATATGAAAAGGAGTCTTTTCTCCATCCCTAAGAACAGGCACATAAACAAGAGAAATGAAGAGCAACTAACTTTCATTAATTTGAACAGGCTCTACTGCTTTGTTATGCCAATAGGAGGAAGGGTTATGGAAATAAATGTAAATGCATGTTAGAATGATAGCCAGCTGGCCAGCTGAAGTGAGTGTCAGCTTTTTGGAAGAAACAGGGACATTTCCGTGTCATTTGTTTGGAATTGCCTCCCCAATAGGGAACATTTTTCTTGCTACAGTGCTGTGCTTAAAGTAAGCACATACATTTGTAAGGAACAGATTGTTAGAAAGTGAGTTTCTTTGAAATGTTTAAGTAAGGAGCATTTATTAGACATTGAAAATATTTGAGTCTTAACCCTTCCCAGTAGAGCAGACCTGTCTTCCTCAATCACCATTTACTATTAAAGGCATAAAGAGAAAAAGAGAGAAGTCATGGGTGCTAGTCTTACCTCCTAAGATAAACAAGTAGAAAACAGGACTACTGTCTATGAGGCAGTGGTTTTCAGGCAGCGAACAGCAGGCATCCAGAACTGTGATCCTTGAGAGAAGAGAATCACAAGAGGGGGACTCACATTTGCCCTGGTTTCCTGCTTAAATACTTTCCCCGCTGTGATATAGGGAGGTGAACCCTAGCAGAGCACGGTAGTCTCATAGCATTGAGAGGGCAGAGATTGGAGTTTAAGGCGGCTGAAGAGGCTGGGATTTGTATGGCAGGGTACTGGAGAGGAGGGAGCTACTCGAGGGGTGAGGCCCTGCAAAGAGCAGCTGCTACTAGGCTAAGAACAGAATGGCGGTACCAAAAGTCATGTATTACTGAGAGTGATTGGGTTTCTGGCCTAGCAAGGTGAAGAGACCTTGCTGAATGCCTTAGCCATTCTATTGAGACATCACATAGCCATTCTATTGAGACATCACATAGCCATTCTGTTGAGACATCACATCCTAGGAATAAAGACCATCCATACCTTACAGTAAGGGCCATAAGCTTGGACTAAGGACATAAGTGAAATAGATTCATCTTAACCAAGTGTAAAACCAAGACTGGCAGGATCAAGAGGACCCACCAGTAATTTAGCTGCCACCAGAGCCAAACTGAACAGCCTCCAATTGTTTACCTTATAATGGAAAGAAGCATACAAAGTAACAGGGGATTGTGACCCATATTCAAAATAATAATCAATAGATATGAACAATGACTATAAAAGTGGGTAATACCAGATCTTGGTCTCTAATAGCATTCTCCATGGAAAGGAACCAGTGGTTTTTGGAGAATTGACAGGATCCAGGTCAGAGACAGGGTAGATACAAGATGAGCCCATAGTATTTTTTTTTTAAATATCAAAAAGTAAGGAAATAAAAGTAAGAAAATATTTTTAAAGGATGGAGTACGTCACAAGGATATAGGAGCCAGCTTGAAGGGCTTCCCACTGGCTAAGTCTGAGACAGTTGGAGCACCAAAATAAGTACAAGGATAAATTATAAGTCATTGAAAAAAATAGGACTTCATGTATCTCTGGTGATCATAAATAGATATATTGGTAAACAATGTGGAATGCTGAGTAATGGATGGCAATATGGAGGGATTGCTGGAGTTGGAAAAGTCAGCATGTTGCAGTCATCACAGTATAAAGTTTTTATCAGGCAGACATCACTAATGGATGCTAAATCTAGGGGGAAATTTTGATGAGGGACAAGATATTTGCATGGTCTTAAAGTGTCTTCCCACAGATTACTTGTTAGCTGCAAGGGAAAAAGTAGTAATTTTTCACTGGAAAAGTTGGACAACACCTTGGCTGGCTGATCAAAATTAACATAACCAAGCTGGGGCAGATGGACTTTTTGTGCCTTTAGATGTGATATCCAGATAAGAAAATATCACTTTTGTGGTTTTCTGAGAATGCATAACCTGAACTGAATCATCAGGAATCACCTGAGGAAATGTCATGAAAGTCAAAATAGAAATGTTCTATTAATATAAAAAGTTAGAGGCTGTATTCTTCTAAAGTGTCAGTGTCATAAAAGACAAAGGAAAGCTGGTGTTGTTCAGGTGAAAGGAAGCTAAAGAGTAATGGCAGCTAAATGCAGTATCTAACACTGGACTGGATCTGAATTGGAGGAAAGAGAAATACTATAAAGGGTGTTATTGGGTTAATTGATTATGGCAGTAGATTAAAGTATTATATAAATATTAAATTTACTAAGGCTGATAACTATATTGTGGTTGTGTAAGAGATTATTCTTTTTCTTAGGAAATAAATTCTGAAGTATTTAGAGGTAAAGTGCTGTGTTATATTGAACTTATCTCCTTATAGCTCAGAAAAAAATGTCGAATGAATGAATGGACAGAGTGAGTGAATGGTTAAATAAATGAGTTAAATGTTGATAATAAGTGAATCTGGGTAAAGAGTACCTGGATACTTTTGTACTAGTATTATTCTACAGCTCTTCTGTAAGCTTGAAATTATTTCCGAATACAGAAATTTAAAGGCCAATTATGGTAGTGCATGCCTCCCAGCACTTTGGGAGGCTGAGGTGGGAAGATCACTTGAGTCCAAGATTTCGAGACCAGCCTGGGCAACATAGCAAGACCCCATCTCTACTAAAAAAATCAGCTGGGCATAGTGGCATACACCTGAAGGCCTAGCTGTTTGGGAGGCTGAGTTGGGAGGATTGCTTGAGCCCATGGGCTGCAGTGAGCCATGACTGTGCCACTGCACTCAGCCTGAGACTCTGTCTCAAAGAAAAAAAAAAAAGAAAAAAAAAATTAAAACAAAAAATCCCAGCAAGTATAACTATGATTTAAAGAGAAAAGTAGAGTACGCAGAAAAGATAAGGTGTTGCTTGACTACCTTTGTGTGGATTTTCTACCCTTTGGGTTGTCTGTGGTAAATACATTAATGCTATCACAGTGTCGGTCACTTAAGCATGCAAAGCCATTCTATCTGTTGTCTAAGAAAGCATATCTATGCAGGAGGAAATAATAAATATTGCTATTCAAGTTGAAACTATAATGTTGTATGGTGTCATGGAAGAGTTTGGAGCAAGGGTTGGTAGAGCTGGGCACTGATTTCTTCTTTAATACTTGCTGGCTGAGTGATTGGTGGAAATTTCCCTAACCTTTGGGAACTTTGGCTGCTTCATTTTAAAATGGTGCTTGTCTGTTCTCAAGATCTTATGGCTCCAATGAGAAAATGCATGTGAAAGCTCTTTATAAATAATAATGATTTCTTCTGCAAACATTATGTTACTATTAACAAGACATTAATAGTTTTTTTTTGAGATGGGGTCTTGCTGTGTTGCCCAGGTTAGAGTGTAGTCATGGCTCACTGCAGCCTCCACCTCCCATTCTCAAGTGATCCTTTTACCTAAACCTCCTGAGTAACTGGGACCACAGGTAAACACCACCACATCTGGCTATTTTTTAAATTATTTGTACAGAAAAGGTCTTGCTGTATTGCCCAGGCTGGTCTCAAACTCCTAGACTCAAGTGATCCTCCCACCTCAGCCTCCCAAAGTGCTGAGATTACAGATGTGACCCACTGTGCCCTGCCCCTATTAATAGTTTTAGTTAAAATGGCTTAGACTGAGGTAGAGATTTTCCTTCTTCCAGGTGGCCCTTATTTCTCTCATAAGTCAAGTTTTTAATTGATTTGATTATATGAGAGAGTTTCTTTTCCAAGTGGGCCCTTCTGTTCCTTCTGGTTGCTTCCTTCCTCATTTTCTGCCCTTGTTATTCCAGGTAAAGCTTCAGTGACTGAAGGAGTGTGAACTTTTTGAATTTTAAGAACAATAAAGTTGGAACACAGCAGAGAGTGTGTAATAAAAGACAATATAGGTAAGTCAGAATCAGCATTTCACCCATTCTCAAAAAACTCATGGTTCTGAAGTTCCTTGTAATCACTCTTGCTTTGTTCTGACATTTGTGTGAGGCTCTGGCATAAAGGGATCTTCCAGGCCTTTGTGGTGCCCAGGGGCAAAATTAGCCAACAAAAGGCCTGTGTGGTTTGGGGAAAGTAGGAAACACACTTGAAGAGGCCAGCTCCCTCATTGGAGAAGGCAAGCAGTCTGGGCCAGGGTGGTAGAAATGCGTAAAGCAAAGGCCACAGGAAACAGTGTCAGCCTGAGTCTCTGGAAATGACAGAAAAGGATGCTGCTGGATTTGAGTCCATAAACCAGCAGGTTTACACAGTGTCAGCCTGAGTCTCTGGAAATGACAGAAAAGGACAGTGTCAGCCTGAGTCTCTGGAAATGACAGAAAAGGATGCTGCTGGATTTGATGTCACATAAACCAGATTTATGTGAAGTCATATAAACTAGGATATGTCATTTGGGGGCATGCCTTTTCCCTTAGTCTGGAATTGCTTTTGATGAAGGCTTTCATCCCGGAAGATCACTGTTACCAGGTCTGCCTTCTTCTCTGGAGTTGAACAGTTGAATCCAGTGCTGCTCAGAGTGCCAATCTGAGATGAGATAAAGAACTTGACCTAGAAAGTAAAAGTTAGATGAATGAAACAGTGTCTCTAGCGTCATCGTTGATTCCATGTCTGTTTCTGTGTTCTATTTCTGTGTCTGTCTATATGTTGATTACTATGTCTGTATATATAATCTCCAAATGATATATTGCTTAGCTTTGTTTAATTTTGAGCTTGAAGAGAATGGTATATTGCATGTAGTATTCTGCAGCTTGCATTTTTTTTTTTTTTTTTGCCGTGTTATGTTGTAAGATTTACTTGTTGCATGTAATGGTAATAAACTAATTTTTCTGGTTAAGTTAAATTCTGTGGGGAGAATTGATCACAGTTTATCTGTTGTCTCCCTTCCCTCCAATATTTGGTATTTTGTTGCCAGGCTAGTGGATGTAAAATAGTATATCATTGTCATCTTTATTTCCTGATTAATAGTGATTGTACATCTTTGATATCCTTTGGAGAACAGAGTGCATAATTTTAATTTAGACAAAAATTTCAGTCTTTTATTGTATAGTGAATGAAGCTTGTTTCTGCCCTTTTTTTTTTTTTTTTTTTTTTGAGAAGGAGTCTTGCTCTGTCACCCAGGCTGGAGTGCAGTGGCACAATCTCAGCTCACTGCAAGCTCCACCTCCCAGTTTCACACCATTCTCCTGCCTCAGCCTCCCGAGTAGCTGGTACTATAGGCACCTGCCACCACACTCGGCTAATTTTGTGTATTTTTAGTAGAGATGGGATTTTACCGTGTTAGCCAGGATGGTTTTGATCTCCTGACCTTGTGATCTGCCTGCCTCGGCCTCCCAAAGTGCTGGGATTACAGGCTTGAGCCACGGCGCCTGATCTTTTTTTTTGTTTTTTGAAACATAGTCTAAAAAATTTGAAACTGTTTATATGGTACAAATATTTTCATTGCGGCCAGGTGCGGTGGCTCATGCCTGTAATCCCAGCACTTTGGGAGGCTGAGGCAGGCAGATCACCTAAGGTCAGGAGTTCGAGACCAGCCTGGCCAATGTGGTGAAACCCTGTCTCTACTAAAAATATAAAAATTAGCCAGGCATGGTGGTGCGCCCCTGTAATCCCAGCTACTTGGGAAGCTGAGGCACGAGAATCGCTTTGAAGCTGGGAGGCAGAGGTTGCAGTGAGCCAAGATCATGCCGCTGCACTCCGGCCTGGGCGACAGGAGTGAAACATCATCTCAAAAACAAACAAACAAACAAACTAAAAATGTTTTTATTGCTAATCTTTGTTTTTTCTTTTCTTTTGAATTGAACTTCTTATTGGTTTATATTCTTATTCAGTTTTTCTTTCTCTGCTGATTTGGAAATTATAACTTGTATTTCTGTTCTTCTAATGATTACCCTGAAAGTACATTGTGCATACATAGAAGTTTTAAAGTCAGTCAGTATTTAAGATATTCTAATCCCCTTCTAGAATAATACAAAACTCATAGTTAAAAAAAACCTAATGAAGACTCCCTCCTTCTGTACATAGATGTTCTTTTCAGCATATCAGTTTTATTATTTGCTTCACGATACAAATTAGTCAATTTTATTGTATGGAGATGGTATTTTTTTAACTTTATATGCTTACCATTTCTTTTTCCTCTTCCTTTCTTTATCCTTACCTTTCCTCTGATGAGATTTAGCTTCTTCAGAATTTTTTCTTTTCCTGAGAATCTTTTGGTGGTAACGTCTCTCATTTTGGTTTCTGAAATGTCTTTATTTCACTCTTACAGTTCTTAGTTGATAGTTATTTTTTTCCCCAGTGTTGTGGACGTACTGTTCCATTGTCCATAACTTTCATTTTTGCTGTCAGGACATCTGTTTATCTTTCATTTGGTATTTTTTTAGTAGATGATTTGACTTACTCTAAGTTTGTTTATTTGTCTTTGATGTTCAGCAGTTTCATTACAACGTGTCTATTTACAGCTTTCTTTTAAGAATTCTGTTTATATTTTTTGTGTTTCATGTATCTATCAATTTATTTCATTTATCCACTCTAAATATTTTTCAGCTCTCAATGCTTTGAATGCTGTCTTTTCTCCATTCTCTCTATCATCTCCTGGTTTTGATTTAATGGAAGTTAGAACTTCTCTTTTTATCCTTTATGTCTTAATTTCTGTTCAGTATTTTCTCTCTCATTTTTCTCTGCTTCATTCTGTAATTTAAGATTTAGCTTTTAGTTCAATACTTCTCTCTTTAACTGTGTTGGCTCTTCTGTTTAGCCTATCCGTTGAATTTTTAATTCAAATGAATATGTTTTTTAAATTTCTAAAATCTTTATTTCTGCCTTAAATCTGCCTGAGTATTTTTTGATGGTTTCATTTTGCTTGCTCATTTTTTTGGCCTCATCATTAAGCAGTTATTTCATATCCTATATTTGATAATGCCAGTATCTGAAATCCTTGGTGGTCTAAATGTTTTTGGGCTTCTTTCCTAGTGTACAGGGTGAGTTTTGATTGTATGCTAATATTTGCTTGATAATTATTTCTTGGAATCTTGAAGTATTACTTCTTGAAATTTTGTTTGTACTAGGAGCCAGGAGGATACTACAGACCCAGGACCACTTCTCTTCTCTTTGAATACCTGTTCCCTTAGGTTTCAAGCTGGGCTTTCCCCACCATGCTGAAACTTGGCTGTCTAGTTGCCCCACCCCTTGGTTGGTATTCATAGTTACCTCCAGGGCAACTCCAACTTTCTTTTTTGCTCACTTGTGACTGTTCTTTGCTCAGGAACAGTACATGTTCCCACTGTATTCTCGTGGCATTTGTTTCTCTACCCGGAGCTAACCAGTGCATTAAAAAGTATATTTAAATGTAATTTATTCAGGCTGTAACTATAGTATAGCAGAAGGGCCTTGCAAATATCTAATCCATCACAATTCCTGAATTAGGAATGCTGAAATGATTTTTAAAAATCAGTTGTCTCTAAGTACTCTTTATCAATTTATTACTTTCCTTTGTTTCACCTAAGGATAAAGAAAATATTGCAAAAGTGATCTTTCTGAAAGCTAGCTAAACATATGACATACTATATCCTTACACTTTTGCCAGGGTTCCTTTTGTAGTTAATCTGTTGAATGTTTACTCCCTTGGAAACTGGAATTACCACTCTTGGATAACTCATTAGAACACAGTACTTATTCAGCACCAATTTGTTATGCCTCCCAATCTATTTTCTGTCACAATGCCATTTTTCTTTCTATCCAGGTCCTAGATATAAACGAGTCAGTTGTGGGTCTCTGCCTGTGGATGCGTTTCTTCTTCACATGGAGTGCAGATAATTGATGTTTGCTGTTGTGAATTAGAGACATCATCTCTGTAAGCTCCATGTTCTTACATTCTGCATCCCCTTAATAGGCATAGAAGGCAGCATGAAATTTTTGGTCTGTAGAATGCTAAGTTGCCTTGGGCTTTGGCACATGAAAAAATATTTCAAAATGGATGTCGAGGTTGCTGATTTAACAGTTTTTTTTTTTTTTTAATTATTCCTTCTGCAGCAGAATAATTACCAATAGATAACCACATGTTTCTAGAGGCTACTCAGATCTGACAGGTGTGTGTGTGGATTTTGTGATGGAAGTAATACATTAGGCATGTCTCTAATTTGCAGTGTCTTTGCTTTGTAGGTTACAGGTAGGATTTTTGTAATACTAATGTAAATCACTAGTATTACAGGCACCGAAAGAAAGACAGGCACTGAAAACATTTCTAGGAAATGTGGAGCTCTGTGATGAGAGATTCTTTGAGGAATTGGCTCTATACTTTCATTTGAAAAATAAAAATATCAGAAAATTGTGTAGCTTTTCCTTCCTTTGATAGCACATTCTAATGAGTAGTAACTTCTATCTACGTCCTTGTATCCTTAGGTTTTTCTTGGCTGTCAGTTCAGGCACTGCTGCTGGTTTTTGCTTTCCAAATGGTTGGAAAGCTGAGCACTTGAGAAGCTTCACCTGGGGAGCTAGGAAAGTGATGGAGTAGTACTGGAGATGCTTGTCAGGGATGACCAGTGCTTCCTGAGCAAGCTTTGCCCAGCCTTCTGTGCCAGCAAAGCCATCAGGCTCTATGGCACACTGCTCAGGCAGAGGGAAAGACATCATTGCCATTGCTCCAGTTCTGTTGTCCTGGGCTAGGGACTTGATTTGGCAAAGCAGTAACTGGCCCTTTGAACTTGTCAGTTCTCTGTAAATGTGTCCCTTTGAAGGTTATGAGTTGCATCATTAGCATGATTTTTAACAGAATTCACCTGAGTGCTGTTTGTTTTCCACCATGAAGTTAGATTCTGGTCATATCAAAACAATGCAGAGACACAGCCCAAGAGTGCTGTCTTTCAGAGGTTTATGTCATTTAGGATGCTAAAAAGTGGGGCTT